TTTCAATAAAAAGTCAAAAATGATTTTTGTAGGGCATGATGTCCCAAATTTGCCACTCGTGCAGTAATATGAAAAAAAAGGAAAAAAAAACAACAACAGATGTTTAATTTACTTATTTTGTAGGCTGACAATGCATGGCAACAACATTCTATAGTTAATCCCAAACGTTCGGCCCTGCGCTAAAAAAAATGTTGTTTGCAAAACGCTTTGTAAGTACTACAATTTCTGTGTTGAGAGCCACTCGCTCACCAAAGCACCAAAGTAGCTGACAGGCCTAAACGCACTTTTTTGGATCGACTGCTTGAGTGCGCTCGTAACCTCGGAAGGTTCTACCGCGTTACATGAACAATTAGGGTATAACATGCAATGGTATAACACGGAAATTACAGGCAGCTTTTGACACTCTTCAAACATCTAAATACAATTTAAATGGCGGTCATCGCACAGAGCTTTGCAAGAGTGAACTGGGCGGAGCCGGAGGGGCCGGAGAACTTCAGTGCATGGCGGCGGTGGCGCCCTCTACTAGCTTCCACAGAAATAGGAACCTCTCCGGCCAGTTTTGCGCCAAAGTATAGCCCTAATTTTTTTTCTTAATTCTAAATTATTTTTAACATCTTTTTTTATCAAGGCTCTGAAGGAATATATTATTTTAATTAGCTTGCGTCCTTTAAGCGTCGACCGAATTTGGCACTCATGATTGTATGAAATGACTTTACAATGAGGCGCTTCACTTATCTTTTTTTAAAGGTAACTAGGCCGCGTACTACATAAGCTCGCAGTATTGCAGATACTCCGTTTAACGTTGAGTTCGGTCAAAACCAACGCTACTGTCCGATGAAGCCTATCAAGCAGTTCCAAAAGCGCATTGCCCTATAGCACTCATCGTTTTTTTCGCGTTGCTGTCGCCGATCAAACCAATAAAAAAGTAGACAGCGCAGGATCACGTTGCATTCACTGTGTGTGATTGGTTTCGCAGGACGTAGGGCAAACGTAAACGTTTCGATGACGCACTTTTGGATGCTCCTTCATTGGTTTAATCCTATCGTAGCGTATACTGTGGTCGGACTTTGAGTGAATCGGTATTGGGGAGGAGATCAAATAGTCACGCCTCTAGCGGCACGTTTTACCTGTGGGGAAAACAAACCGAATTTTCTCGCTTGTTTTTGATCAGAGATATCGAAGATGACGATTCAAAAGTCGCTCCTCGTGTGATGAAAGTGCAGTAAGATCGAAGCCCTCATGTCTACACCGTCCATGACGAGGATCAATTTCTTTGTAAGGCTGTGTTAGTAAACACCGGGCTACGGGAACAAGAACGTCGATAAAGCGCCCCCGTCTCTCACTGGTGGCGTCATTCCGCAGAATAACTCTGCCAGTAAAATACGTGTCTGGCAGCGCTCCCAAGAAGGGCATATATGGCACGTGTGATGCTCGCTTCACTGGGAAACAGCAACATTTAATCTGCTCGGCTGTGTTAAACCGGCGCTTCCACTGCAGATAACTGAACATCAGCCCGGAAGAATACAACATATGGATGGAAAGTGGTCCTAGTGCCTTTCAACGCAAACACTGCAGCCGGCAACGACGAATTTCGACAGGCTGTGACATTGACACCAACCACACCACTCGGCGGGGTCCAGCTCCGTCACCACTGCCAGCCGACCAACTTGGCGGCAGGTGTTTTCCCCTGATGTTCTTCGGTTCTTAAACACTATGACTGTCAAGTTGGACGCACTGACCGCAGAGGCCTAAGGATGGAAAATTGACAATTTTGTTCCGATTTGACGTTGCTGAACAGGAGGATGCTGTATCACCTTCCTTTTGCGTCAGCTCCTCTGTGCTCATACTCAGCGGCACTGGAATCCTTGACACTTCCATTGGTAGTTCCCGAACCACCAGCAGCAAGTGCAATATCCGGTCTGAAACCGACTTCTAAGAAGGAAAGTGCTAGCCACGGTGCTTCTGTGTCTATGCCTGCACGTGCTTCTTTGCGTGAAACGCCTGATGGGCCGGAGCATGATGGCTTTATCATGTAAAGAGATAGAAGCGAAATCCACTAAACTTTGCTGTAAACCACAATGTTTTAGAAGCCTCCCCTGAGCTTGAAGGCTCCCCTTTCTCTGTCACCCAGATCCATCTTCAGAATGACGTCAATCAGGTCGTTACCAAGTCTGAGTACACAGCTACATCTTTTGTTTTACCCAAAGTACGAAGCAGTCGTATAAACCGTACCCCCTTCAGCGTACCCTGGCACTTGGAAGATTGAGGTGGCACTTCCAGGAGGTTCAGTAGAGCCCCCCCGGACCCTTGGTACAAAAACACCTTGCGCAGCAGGCGGACTCCGGCCGTCTAGAGACATACATATTTATTTGTCGTGTGAGAGACATGAGATGAACAGTAGCTGGAGTTACGGTTCACTCAGAAGGAATAAAAACACTGAAATAGACCAGGGACAGGCATTCACGTTGTTTTCAATGAGAAACAACATTTATATAAGCTGTAGTCTATCCACCTCGCTTTGCTACCTGCAAGTAGCTTGATATCGCATGTTTGTAACTAGCTCTTCAAGTTCAGGCATTACATCCTATAATGTTAGCGGTTGACAAATATTATGGGTGATCCTTTTAGCTCTCTTAATGTAAGATTATATATTACCGTTAGCCCCCTAAAATGTGAATAAAATAAAGAGACAAATAGCTCCAAAGGTGGGCACACTTCACGATCTGTTCCATCTGGCGTACGTAAAATGTCATACATTGTTCTCTTTAAAGAAGTTGAGTTTTTTATGACGAACTCGAGCAAGCGAATCACGAAGATCAACATTAACAAAACATATTTTGCTAGGCATAAGTTTTTAAGCCTCAGTCAGAACAACCGATTGGGAGAGGTGCCTACTTGGTAGCAATTCACTGAGTACAGGATCACTGACTAAGGCGTCCAGTTCTTGCATGTTTTCGCGTTTTAAACATTTTTAGTTTCTTTAGAGACATCGGTGCCATCCTCCCCCCTTGTGGTGGCTTGATGCTCGAAAGCTTGACGTTAAGCACTGCATTGTTCCGCCCCATGTAACAGGCTTTCTTACAAAACTCAAGTCAGAGTTCCAGATTCGAAATGCAAAGTGCATGTTCCTATGCTTCTGATTGTCTGATTGCTCATCCGGATCATCTTCCAGCACTTCATACTTAACTGAACCCCCTTGATAGTTGACAATGTGCAATCATCAATGGCAATTACAGTAGCCATTATACTGTAAAGTCCTTTGCATGGGGGCACGTGCAACCAATCTACTGCTGAGCAAGTGCAAAATGCAATATTTTTTTTCTGACAGAGGATACACGAAGCCGTGAGCAAACACTGTGTGAGGAAGGTCCTGCATTTTTTCATCGAATGCCTTCTATAAAATATACTTTTTTTTTTGGCTTGCACTTCCGAAAGCAAAGTGCTGCAAGTACTATTTTCTTCATTCGATCTTTGGGTGGGATCTTATTTACCGACAGTTGTGTAGGCCATATGGCTGCTGATGATGACTTTAACACCGGGACACCATCTGCATTCAGCGTGCCCAGTCTGTGCAGGGTCAGCAGAAAAGCCCAATGTATACCTCAATATGCAATGCCAGACATTGGGTTGCATCAACTGAGGTTCAGGAAGTCTCCAGCTTTCAACACCTTTTGCAATTGAGACTTTACACAAAACTTACCCGAAACGTTGGGTCTGTAAAGTTAGACAATTTAGACACTGAAAGGGAAGATGCAACAGCTCTGCATTTGAGAAAAAAAAACAGCTGAATTGCGTTTATTTGGCCCTTAGAATAACAGATATCAGAATAACGTTTCAATGTGACGCACCGGGAAGCCAGAAAAAAAATTTCAATATAGGGCTAAATCTCCGCCTCCTTAGCCTTGGGCAGCCAAAATATCCCTCCATAACCTCACATACGGCGACTCTCTTTCGCATTTTCTCGTGTTTGACAACACTTGCGTTGCAAATGGCTTGGGTATACGGGTTCACGGGGTAAAAATACATTAGAATTCACTTCTAAGTCTTTTTTTTTTCCAAAAACCTCTGTAGCTTCTTTTTAACTGCAACGAGAGTGTAAAAAAGTAGTGCACATTGTATCAAGTTAAACAAAACACTGCTGGAACAGAAGAGATGAAAATTGTAATCGCCAGCAACAAAGATCTTCACAAGCAAGTGGCCCGCGTCAGGCAAGATGTGTTCAGCAAAACAGCCGTTCACCATTAGAACAACATTAGTCAATTCTGTAAAAGTGAGGTTGTTGGTTGCAGCCTGCTTCAGCTACATACTGAAAATTTCACTCCTTGTTATTTTTATTAGTTCCCCAAGAATGCGTTGAATGAGCATTGTAAAAGAGCTTGCGAAATTCCGTGCTTCCAGGTCTACACCTAACCCGACCTCTTGTGACGTGTCTTGAGGCAGTACGATAAAAATCTTCAATTCGTTGCCCCGTGGCATCCATTCATGATGATTCTGTGAAAGTTTGTTTGGAATCAATACATATAGAGTATGCTTTGCATTAATTACTTTATTTTTATAATGTTTTGTTCCATTTCGGTCTCATGTTTTGTACACGTCTTTCTCCCGCTCCTACAACAGCCCTAGCACTTAAAGCAGTTGCCACAGCATTGGACTGTTAAAAAATACATAAATATATTGTAGAGTTGCTAATCTATGCTTTAATATTTTACTCTGCAGGTCCTATAAAATGCCTGGGTACGGTAAGGGTTGCAATGACCATCATGAGGGAACTACGTAAACCAAAAAGATGCACCGAAAGTCTCAATAGTCTCTTTGTTGTTGATTGATATTGTCAATCATACCGAGGATTTTCCGGTAACTTGCCACAGTTTCCAGATGTTTCATCAAATAGTGATCGCGATCGCTTACATATTTCTTTCCAATAGGTTTCGTTTTCACCTAAGTGAAAGATCCGCAGGAGTCGGATTGATGTTTACAAATTATTTTTTATTATTTTAGGTGCTGTATTTGTCCAGTTTATTGGGTGAGAAGCCGCACGCTTTCCTCCCGCATCTTGTGCTTCTGAACTTTTCCGGTCTGAGTCCTTGGGAAGGACTTCACGAACAGCACGCATTCCGGTACCATGAACCATGGCAGCTGTAATAAGAAATGTACTTGGTTACGTGCACACAATACAGAAACAAAAGACTTGAAATGATTTCGTTCACTGTATTGGTATTCCTTTTTCTGTCACAAGGAAGTTGTGAGCCGATTTGCACGGTCTTCAAGCGGTTACCAAGTTTAGTTATGTTTGTGCTTGTAGTGGTGGAAAACTTGCGCTCGCTTTTAACGTCTTGAATCTGATGTTCAGAGAATTCGCATAATGTAAGCTCCGCGAAACTGAAAGTTATCAGTGGGGGTGCTGCAATGAATGTCGGAAGGATAGTGCCACCACCTGTATGAATATTTCTTCAAACGTAAAGTCAAACACGAAATACCTGCTATTTGCGTCAATACTCAACCGTTCATGATGAGGACAGTGCGTTTGTTTATGACCATACTCAAGGATCGTCATGGAGCCAATTTTTAAGAGTTCAGAACGCAATAAAATACTGAATGGTTCTTGCTGCAGGAGCGTGAATCAGAATTGCTGTCTCGTGTATTCCAGTCGCTTTGCTGCCTAAGAGGACGGCCGTGGACTACACTGTATGCCAATGTAGTTGAGAACAGTCTTTAATATTCAAGAGCACAAATTTTGACCGCTACATTTTGCGGATATCTTGTTTACGCACGCTTTGCCATTTCCCCTTTTTATACTCGAAAACTCGGTTTTAGAAGCTGCGGGGTGATACAGCAAAAAAAAAAAAAACAACAAAAAACGTCGTCGTTTTATCTAAGTACAAGGATTGGTCCTGACGGCGGGAGCTGCCATTTCTTCAGTAGAATACGTCCTGTCAACGCGTCAGTTTTTGCCTGCTGTTGATTCGTCACCTGCTGCCAGGACCATGCGCAAACTCGTCTTTAAAAGACAACACACTTCATCGGAATCTCACATGGCGGCGGCGGCGGCAACGAAACAACGTACTGTATCCTCGTAAATTTGGAGGTTCGTTTTGAACTCCCTTGCGGATTGAAGTTGTGTTGATGTTGCTTTGCCGTCGCTGCTGCCAAGTATCTCGTGTCTTTATTTCCTTTTTTTTTTTGTTTTCTCTGACTACTGCTGTTCGAAATGAGGAAAGATATAGCCAAGTTGTTAAGTGACTCTAAAGAAGGCATTAGACAGGAGCTTAAGTGTTTCAGGGACACATCTAAGAGGGATCTCAGGACACAGTTACGGAAAATACGTAACGATTTAAAAGAAATAACTGAAATAAAGGACAGCATGAACTCTATAAATGACGAATTTGAGACTTTCAAAGTAAAAATGGCTGCAATGGTGGCCGAAAACTCTGCCCTGAAAGAGGAAAACACCGAAATGAGAGCGGAAATGGTTGCGCTGATCAAGGAATTAAAAGAAGCTTAAAATAGGCTAGTAAGTGCGAGCAGTACTCGCAAAACAACAACATCGAGGTTAAAGGTGTTCTAAAAGACGAAACCATAAATGCAGAATAGTTGATAACGAAACTCAGAGATGTGATCGGTGAACCGATAACCGAAACAGACGTCGAAGCATGTCACTGGCGGCTGCACTAAAGATAGTGTCAAAAGCAACATTATTGTACGTTTCACGTTCCGAGATATGCGAGACAGTGTCCTTGATAAAGCCAAGAAAAAGCGAATTTCGTGTTGCGACCTAAATCTGTCATCGGATGCTCCAGTATTTGTGAACGAGCATTTGTGCCCGTATTTGAAAAACACTGCTAAGAATGACAGTGTCTAAAAGGCGTGAACATCGTTGGCGGTTTGTGTGGGTCCGATACGGCAAGATACTGGCGAAAAAATTGGTTGTCACTCCTGTTATTTTAGTACTACATGAAGTTGACTTGAGGCTGATATGTTAAACATTGCTGTCTTCTAATTTGTGTATGTGTATGTCTTGTGATGGCAGAAGACCTTGGTGCTGTAACGCTTGATCAGTTGAATTTTTTTTTGAATGAGGGTCGCAGTACTAAGATACGTTTTCTTCATCAAAACGTGCAATCTGCTAGAAATAAAGGAGACATGCTAATATTGCTTTTTTAATTATTTTCAAACTTAATTTTATATCATTATGCTAACTAAAACATGGTATATTGATGACTGCGATTTTTTGTACTACCTGGATATAGTCATTTTTATTTAAATCTAGATTACGGACGAGGTGGAGATGTCTAGTTGCAACGTAATTTTTCTGACATTGAGATTGTTCCGTATTGCACCATCGTGACTCGAAACTATGAGATACTCTGCGTCAGAAGAAAAAACTTCATTTACTCGGTTTTCTATCGTCCAACAGTCTTTTTTTCTATTTTTAGTCAATCTTTTTTAACTTTTTAGAATAACTTTTTGTTTTTGAAATGAGGACAAATGTAAACGTTTTCGTGGTGGAGACCTAAGTATAAACTTACTCGAAGAATCGCGTGTCAGAGACGACTTTCTTATTCTACTTACTTGAAAGAACGTTTGTAATTTTAAACTCTCAAACACGTGTCACATCCTTATCGTCCACAATGCTTGATGTGTTTGTAACAAATCAAGAAGTAAGTTGTATTAGTGCTGGTGTTCTAGAATATAGTTTAAGTGATCATCTACCCATATTCATGGTGATAAACAATATAACAAATCAGAAAATTGAGTTTGAAAACGAAAACAGAAGGACTTTTACATTCCGAAACATAAATTCTGTCACGTTGGAAAAGTTTCGTGAAACAATTTCAAATAAAAATTGGTAATCAGTTATTTCCGCTACATCTGCTGATGAAGCATATAATAATATTTTGGATATTTTTAAGAAGATATGCGAATATTCTCTTCAATAGAGGCAATTCAAACTAGCTAAAAAACCGCAAGCCATTGGTAACTAGAAAATGCTTAAGATTAAAAAATAAAGAATATATAAACCTTATAGTACCTTTCTTATCACAAGAGCTCCCCCCCCCCCCCCTAGAAGATCATGCTTTTTTCCAAAAATGCAGAAATACAGTGAATGTTGTTTTTTCGCCAGGCTAAAGAATCATATTTTCATAATGTATTTAATAAGACATATAGGAAGAGGTCATATCTGGTATGGAAACAGATAAACCAAGTGTTAAAACATGACCCCTTTGAGTCAGCTGTACAGTAATTAACTAAAGAAAATGTAACATTACAAGGGAAAGCTCTCACAGAAACGTTTAAGATGTATCTATTAAATCTCGTAAGTGGCACACATAGTCCTTTGCCAATGGCCTTTATGAAACCTAGAAATCCACACAATGCTTTTTTTCTTTCCAACAGACAAACGAGACGTATTTTCCACGATGTTACTATTTAAAAACAGTAATATAGATTATTTACAGATCAAACCAATGAAGTATGTATTAGATGTTTTCTCAGCAGTTTTAACACATATTATGAATGCCTCATTGTATAGTGGTGTAATTTCTACAAAAATGCAGATTGCAAAAGTTTTTGTTTTGTTTAAAGGTGGAAACAAAAACGAATTTTCAAATGTTATACCTATATCAATTTAACCTGTGTTTCCTAAATGCCTTGAAAAGATAATTCATGATAGGTTAGCAAGTTCCTGTAAAAATTTGCAATAATTACAGGCTCTCAGTTCTGTTTTCGCAAAGGCCGATGAACGGAATTGGCATTGTTACAACAGGAGGAGCTCATTTTGAAGTCTTTCGAAGAAAAAAATGGGATGTTTTCATAGATTATTCTAAAGCCGTTGATCGTATGAATCATATTACTCCCATAAAAAAAACTCGAATATTATGGAGTCCGTGGCGTAACACTCGATATTATAAAATCATATCTTAATTTTTGGCCGCACTGTATTGTAATAAATAGTTAAATTTCTACCGTTCAACCTTCCATACCTGGAATATCGCACGGTAGCATCTTATGTCCTTTTTTATTTAACTTGCATAAAAATGACATCATTAACATCAGTAGGACCTCCTCTTCCATCGTTTATGCTGATCATACTAGCTTAGTTTTTTTAGGCACTGAGATACAGGAAGTGGTGTATGAAACGAACACCACATCACACAAGCTACAAGAATGGAGTGTAGTAAACTCGTTAGAAATTAATATATGCAATAGTAAGACGGTCCTTTTGAGACATAAAAATAGAAATTTTAGTTCCAATTTTAATAATGTTCTTGGCCTGTCTAAAATCGAACTCGTTCAAAATGTAAAAACGCTTGGATTTTATTTATCAACCACATGTCTTGGACTGATCATATTATTAATGTAGCTGAAAAACTTTCAAAAGTGCTGGGAAAATTCTACCAGCTTAAAAATATACAGCCTTGTCGTTTAAGATTGCTTATATATCAAGCTCTTTTCGAACCTCTTTTAAATTACTGTACCTTGGTGTGAAGCGCTACAACCCTATCGAACCTAAATAAATTATATATTCTTCAAAAAAAAAAGCTATTCGCGTAATACGAAATGTGTATCTTGACGCACACACTCCTCCTCTATTAAAAGATATGTATCTAGAATATGTTCTTGATTCATATGAGTATACTCTCCTCACATGATATAGATCCACCCTTTGATGTAATGAACCATTTTACTTGTATTTCAAATTTAACTCCCATTTCCGAACCTCATGACGTTAGGGAAAGGAAATGTTAAGCTATAATCTTCCGTCTGTCTTCAATGAAGTTGAAAAGAAAACTTTTAAAACATTCAAAACCTACATCTAAATGAAATTCTAGAACTTTGTTTTCACAAATGAAAAGTGTATTGTCTTTGTGAGCTGTAAATACATCCGTTTTATATATTTTGTTCCCTGTATACATCTAGTCACTAAATGCTGTCGTTCTTTGTGTATAAGGCCAAATCCTTCCTCTAGCAGCAAATACAGTATATAAGTGTTTTCTTATTTTTTGTTTCATCCTATGTCACTGTTGCTCGTTCTTCCCTGGTTGCTGTAGTTCGCTACCGTATGCCAATTTTAAGGCTGCAGAGGTCTCGTCAAGTCAAAACGGTTTTTACTTTTTGCCTCTGCAGCCCACATCAATATCTCATGACGATGGAAATAAAATTGATTCATTGATTGATTGATTGATTTAGGCTTGCCGACTGGTACAGTGATTAATTTTTAGCTCAACTAGCCTAAACTTAAGCGTCGCATATTGGAATTGCCTCCCCGCAGAAAGTGAGCCTGAAGCACCACAAACTTTGTTCCTTGGGTATTGGCAAATTATGTCTCTATCGTTTCAATTTTTTTACGTATTTTCAATTACAAACAAGGACAATGCACTTACAGTCCTCGAAGTTATGGCCGTAAATTTTGTTTTGATTTCCTATTCAGTACAGCTTTGTACACATATTTTCTAAAGCTCCTCATTCGGGGTACTTTTAGCGAAGGTCAACTAGCTATATATGAGCGGAGCAAACACTGATAAGCAGGAATGAAAAAGCAACGCTACAGTGCATACGGTAGGTTTTCGCCGCAAGACCCACGGGCAGTTGATTTTTCTGCATGCAAATTCTACCGGCTCTGCACGAGTACGCCCAGCATCCAGTTGGATTCTTCAGCCAATGCAAGCGGAATAGCACGGGGTGCTTAGAAGTGGCAATCGTTGCCCCCATAGGCTTCAAGAGTGCTGACATGAAACCCTTCTATTAGGTCTTCAAAGCCGACAGACGACTGGATAAAAAACAGGGATGTCCTCGTGAGGTACATGCCGTCATGTATCGGTATTATTACGGCGTTCATTGAAGGTACTTGCGACGATAGCACTGGCGAGGGATGCCAAGTTTTTTTTCAATCCTAAGAAACGCAGCATACTTGCTAAGCCTGCTGCAGCAGCCCCGCTTACTAAAGGGATACGAGAAAATTTTGTAGCTAACATAGGTCGATTGACAAATTTATTATATTATGCAGTCATAAATAAGAGCACTACCCCGTAGATACATGTTTGTTATTATTTATGCCTGGCTAGTTTTATTAGAACACGTTTTGCAATGGATTTGCTTTGCTGCAACGCTGCCGGGTTACAAATGGTACAATGGTACATAAGCCGAAAAGTGTAGGATCCTTTCCAATCAGCGGGATAGGCGAGGGATCACCTTACAGCCCGGTCTAGGACATATTATACTGTGCCGAACTTCTGGCGATCTTCATAATTTCAGTTAAACCCTTGGGCAATAAACACGCGGGAATAATTTGATTAATATATCTAAGCCTTAAAGAATGTTTTGCATGTTCTAGAAATTAGTTTAGCCAATTAAATTGGCGGCTCTTAGAACTATATCTTGAAAAAGGCGTATAAAATATTACATACACCTTTCAGTAATGTATTGAATACTATTTATTGATCATTGTTGATCGTAGACTCTCGTGTATACTCTATCACAAAAGTTTTTTTTTAAGTTCCGGTAAAAGCAAGCATTCGAGATGCTAGTTCTACATAATGTTCTTTGAGTATGTGAACTCACGCATAGAACGTTTTTCAGAAATCCTTACGGTTGTACCCAGGCTTTTGCCAATGCTAAGGATAACATGAGAGACAATGTGCAAAGTCTGTCGAGACTACTAAACAAACAACAGGGAAAGCATTTGCATAGAACTCACCTATTTCTTAAAATAATTTGCCTGAATTGAGAAGTGTCACCCTGAATATAGCAGTTTCATGGTTATGTGAAAATGTCGGCCTCCTGTAACAGTTCTCTCGCATCCATGAAGTTACTAACGTTGAAGGCCAATTTTGTTTCGAAGTCCCCATTATTATGTATTTATTGACTGAATCTTCTTGTTATGCTATACCTGAAAACCCATTATAACCATGCCGGATATTTTTTCGTATATTATGTTTCTAATATATCGTAATATCTAAGCCCTCATTCCAAGTTTATCAAAGGTAGCCTCTCTGAGGCCTTGAGCTTTATATCGACCAATTTTTGTTTGTCTCAATTTGTTTATGTTAAATTGTAGACGCGATACATCCTCAACTACTCACACACCTTGTCTTTACAGAAGGCGGTAATCTCTTCTTGGGTTAAGGTTTTATGTGGTCGCAGTTTGATCCAGGCGCAAACCTTTTCCACCACCGCTTCGTCTGGCACTCCAATAACCTGCCGAGAAGATAAAGGAAATACAAAACCACGTTTAATTCAACTCTAGCCACTTTTGAAAGCACGAAACAAGCTTTTCTTTGTATGCAGTAAAAACTGTTTAAGAGCGGCGATTTAAGGTGTACTACTGCTAGTTACTGCTTTCAATATTTAGCAGGCAAAACCCATACCCCAAAATTATTTTCCATGAATCTTTGAGAAAGGCACTTGTTTTATCTATAACGGTTGAAATTTGGGTCTCGGATGATAAAAAAAAGGTTAACAATCTAAATCACACAGGTCAGACCCTCGGAGCCGTGAATCGTCGAGAGGAATATTTATCACCCTGATGCTTCTTTCTAGGTCCAAATCAACCGAATCTTATCAGTTTTATACACAAAAAGGCCAATTGAAATGGCAGCTACATCGAAGGTTGTAACCTATAACCAGACTACCTTAATTGCACAGAAAATATGGCAGCTTATCAGAAACAATGACATTAGACACGCTACAAGCGCCGCGCACCATCAAGCTACAAATAGACAAGCTTAGCTGATGGTATACGACACTACGCAAATGCTGAGACCAAACCAATCTGTAACACTGAAATACAAGCACTCAAGGTTTGTGCTCAGACAGCATGCCACTCTATTGTTCAGTGCAAACAAGACCCTGGATATTTTTATTTTATTCCGGAAACTACAAATTACGAGTTCTTGCTTAAATGCATGTGACCAGCAAGGTAAAACTTGCAAGAAATATTCGAATAATTTACGGAACATGGTTGTCGACCCTGTTGTCTTCGAGAGGAGATTTTAGGGGAAACCATCCTGGTTACCTTGAATTGTCAGAACAAATATTGGTAATGCTACATTTCTTGCAAATGTGACGCGTTGAGCTCAGAGACGCCCCCGGACCACAGTCGAAAATTGATGCGGCAATACTTTAGTACTGTTCGCCATCCGCACGCACAACATCACTGGTCAATCCGGTACGAGACAGGGAACAGGAAGGTTAGCCAATAACAGTAGCACATGAATTCTTGACAAGAGCGCTACAGTGGCACCCGTGACGTTTTTTTCATCAAAACCCCAAAGACACTCGCGACACCGTAATCGGTGCGGAAGCGTTTTCTAACGTCCGACGTGCTTATAGCAGGGGCAACATAAAGGAAAACGGGTACCTCTCTGCAGTTTTTTAGGGACATGCGCGAATGCTGTGACGTGAGCCTATGTCATGCTGCGTCGATACAAAGTCCGCGCAAGTGCTATGGAAATGGCCGCGCGGCGTCCTTTATCATCCCTCATGTGTCAACGGTTTATCTATTGATTTATATACCATGACGCGTCAGCATCTGAAAGTCGACCGCCGATTCGATCGACGTCGACACCGGCGCCAGCATCAGAGAGTCGACTGGTTTGCCATCTACAACACACCAGGACTCTAATATTTCTTAAGCTACCATAAGATCTTCCTTAAAATATGCAGCACAGGTGTTATATCTGGGATTCGCAGGAGTATTCTGTTCTTTGCGTGCTTCCAGAACACCACCTGATTAAGCGAGACACAAAGGACGTGATATTTGCAGGATGCACGCTCGTCAGAAGGATTGTGATGAGTTGATGCTTGAAGCTGGCGAACTACGACGCACGAGTCACGTTTTTTACAATGTTCTGACTCACAAACATAGCATTGCTTCATTTCTACATTTTTACAGGAAAACAGAAAATTTCCACTAAGTTAGCGCATATTTTTTTTACGTAATATCGTGAACATATTGAAGACGGCCTTACTGCCAGTAAAGAGTTATAGGCGAAATCAGTGCCAGTTGGTGCAGGCGCTCATTGTGTCATATTTACTTGTGTAGCGTCATCGAGTTTAGTATTTCTACAAGAAATATCCACCTAATCACATTATATAATCTGTACGAAATATGCATGTGTACTATGCTCTTCGTACGGGTTTCTTCCCTTTGGTGTCTATCCGTGAATACCCATGAATGAACACCTGATTCAAGTGCAGAAACAAAGCGTACATACGTCTAGCTTCTCACCTCCACACTGGAGAAAATTTGGGTATATGTCAGATTTTTTAATTACCTTTTCGCACGAAAATACGGCACGTGAGAATTTGAAGTTTGGAATCGGAGTTTATAAGGCCCAACGACATGGGCAGTCCGAGGGATATAGCTACACTTTTCGAAATTATGGCACAGTTCCCATTTGTATTATTTTTGTTCTTATAGAAATCCCAGTCTTTATTAAACATTTCGGTGCAAAAAGATACTTAAGACGCGCTGCGGTGCTAAGGAGGTAAGATGAGGGTAATGTAGGGTCAGAAGGGGTTAAATGTAATGGCTTTAAATAAAATTTATGGTACTTGGCTCCCCGCATGTACTTCATAATTGAATCTGCTATAGCGCTTCGGTGCTTTCGGTGCTAGAAAGGATTCTTTACTCTGGCGATTTCGGCCTGGTCGAGAGTTAAAACTGCCTGGGGCTTTGCCCTTGTGAGGACAGAGACCCTGAGAGTCCTAAATTGCGTAGCAGCTGATTTTGCTGACGTTGTCAGGCAACCTCGGTCCTCCCTGTCTGCGGTCTCGCCCTCTCTTTCTTATTTTCGCTGCCAAAAGAGAACAATTCTGACCGACAGAATCGCTCTTTATGCCTTCGAACCGATTGATATCGATCTTATTAAGCAAGAAATTTGGTGATCGGTTGTGGTGGATACGGTAGGTAACCTATACGTATTTGTATGTGTTAAAGAAGCAAGGCGAACGTTCCGGGATACATAGTGGGTTGAGCTGGAAGGTTAGATTAAATGGAGAATGGTGCCACGATTTGTCTACTGGTCTTACCCGCTTACTGAAACTATCTGTAAACAAATTCACATATAATCGAAATATTAAAAAAAAAGTTTTCAATACAGAACAAAGTTCCGCAACGTGTCCGTCAGGCAGTCCGCCTTTCGCACGCTTCTCGGCACCACCATCACAGCGTATAATATGTGAACGGAACACCGACGAAGTTATTTGAGCATGTTAATGCATCCATTAAGTTACGCGCAAGTTTCCAGAAAATCTAACAATCGATTAAACACAGTTACGTCTCACGACTTCTTAATTTAACGCGAAGATGTTACAGGCTTTCTTCTGTTATAAAGAAAACTAATTGAGGCCCACTATTGAAAAGCAACCCGTTGCTTGCAGGTAATATATCTACGGATACGAGTCTCGCGTAATCTGTTGTACTTGGCAGAAACTTACCTGCGCCTCCTCCACGTCAGGGTGAGTGTTGAGGACGTTCTCGACCTCCAATGGCGGCACATTCAAATCCTTGTAGCTGATCATCTCCTTGATGCGGCCCACAAATGTGATCCGGCCGTCCTCGCTTATTGTCCCCTCGTCTCTGCAATTAAAATATCTCATATGTCAATAATATTACACTAAGGATTCGGTTAAATGACAACAATTCATTGATGTAGCATAAATGAAGAATATGTTATTCTAGTTTTGCTCTCCTATGAAGCAGCACTGAATTTCCGAAAGTGCTTCGCTCTGAGTGTATAGTAAGCACACTCATGTCAAAACGAAAACCTTCATAGGTTACTAATTTTTAACCACTCCTTTCCATAGACAGCCACACTTTGTGTTAGGCGCCCTTCTAAATATGCTTCTATCTTAAGATGCCTCCCGTGTAATAGACGCATCATTCAAATCTCTCAAATGAGTCTCAGAACATAGACCTCGCAATAAAAGTGATTTGAAGGTAAACATCTTCGACAGAAGTTTGTGTGGTTGGGTGAAATTATTAGATAAAAAAAAAAAAATCTCCAACCACAAAACCGATAAAAGTGATTTTCTTTGGAAGAGGAGGGGGGTGAGAAGAGGTAGGCAGTTTTTTTTTTTTTTATTAAGTTGCTGTGTGCGTTGCAAAGTTGGGAACGTTTGTGTCTGCTTCAGGGAGGAACGTAATTCGAACTGGTGTTGACCAGGTTCTTTATTTTATACCCTGGACGCTTCTACAAATTGCAATCCCACTCTCAGCTGTCAAGGTGTGTTCTTGTTCAAGACATTGCTGATAGTACCACGCGTATAAAAACAACAGGATATAGCTACTTTAAGATTGTCGTTGTATTGCCGTAGGCGTAAGATGAGGGATGTCTTTTTTTTACTTGATGGGTAGCCCGGAAAGCTACCCATCGCAGTAGACACCAACGCCCGAGCAAGCCGCCGTACAGACGTCCAACTCCCGGAATCCGGACCCCTGTTGCACAAGCCGAATGACAAGATCCCGACAATGACCACCCCGCCCGTCGTCGTGTCGTCGGTCGCTCCGCGAATGCCTTCTCCGTTCCTCGGCGAGACCTACGAGGACGTCGAAGACTGGATCAACCAGTACGAAAGCGTGACTTGCCACATGGGGTGGAATGATGAACAGCGCCAGCAGAACCTCTATTTCTCACTTGAAGGGACGCTGGTTCGAAAACCACGAAGCTTCCTTGACTTCATGGGAGCTTTGCAAGAACGAGCTGACGAGTAAGTTTGCCAATCACCATCGGAAAGAGAGCGCCAAAGATCTGCTGCAATTCAGGACCCAGCGCCCCAATGAGAGCGTCACGAGTTTCGTGGAAGACGCCCTGCGCCTGAGCTCCCGCGCCAACCGTCAGGCCGCTACGAAAAGAAGCTGCGTATTCTGATGCGCGGCGTGAAGGACGACATCTTCGGTGGACTCGTAAGCAACCCACCGGGGTTCGTTCAAGGATTCGTCACGGCAGCCACGAATATCGAGCGTGCTCTGCAAGCCCGGGCCAGCCACTACCAGAGACTACAGGGCGTCAGCGCGATTTCGCAGTCCCCTTGCGACCTTGCCCACGACACCTCGGGCATTCGTGAACTTATTCGCGACATCGTCCGGGAGGAGCTTAAGAAGCTTCTGCCAACCGCTGAGCGACCGGCCTCAATCTCCACTACCGAGGTTGTTCGGGACGAGGTTCAGCGAGCACTCCTGCCGGATACCCCTGTCACCGTGACCGCAGCCGACGAGCCGACGCTGACCTACGCCGCTGTGGCCCGACGACCGCCGCCAACTGCTCAACATTACCCGGTGGCCCCACGACGAGACCCACCAACGCAGGCGTACCCACGACGCAACGACGAAGCACGTCAGTACGACCGCCGAGAACAGCCGGCGCCAAGGATAACCGACGTGTGGAGGACAGCGGATCGACGACACATCTGCTACCACTGCGGGCAGACCGACCATATCTACTGCCGTTGTCCCTACCGGCAAATAAGCCCGCGTGGGTTCCACCCAAGCGACCGACGTCCGAGGTACAGCGAACACCCTCGCGACATCGAGGAGTACCTTCTACGCTCGCCCTCCCCAGTGTCGTCTCTCCGCCGTAAAGCCCGCTCCCCATCGCCACAACGTTCAGCGTCTCCAGCGTCACGACCCCGGTGAGAGAGCCTGTCTCCCCCGCGTCGTTGGGAAAACTAAGTGCGGCAACGCCTGGAGGTGACGTTGCCGAATACGACGAAAGCAAAGAGCCTCCAAGAACGCCGGAGCACTCCCACTGTCCCAACGCCCCCCAGCGCACGGACGCACCTGCAACTGTGTCCAACACCCTAAACGTTGTTATCGACGGCCTCGACGCCCCAGTATATGAATGTTTTCGTATACCGGGGCTGCCCTTGATACACGCTAGGTGAGGTAGAGTCGTACAGGACGCACGTCCAAACCAGTATGGGGAACGGCCATTCTACTTCTCCAAATGGAGTCAAGTACCATAAGAGTACAAAGTCATAAGGCAAGGAATAATCCAGTGCTGACAAACGTCTTATGCCACGGACCTTCCTGGCAGGTCTTTTTTGTGGGGTGCGCTGGATCACGTCCCAAAAAAGGATTGCATGGCAACAGTCATGTAACACGTATTCCACTTTCTCCGGTTTCCTGCAAAGGCTGCAATCTTTGCCCCACTGTACATTCATACCCCTTCTTGCCAGCTATGTTTTAACCGGAAAAAAGTCGTTATGCCACTTGAAGATGCTTTCAACTGACGCACGGATTACTATCTTCTTACCATGGGTGAGCACATCATGGTCCCTGTCTTCAGAGTACAAAGCTCGATACAGAGGCAAAGGAAATAAGCTTGACAAGTTTCCGTGGAAAACGGTTTCTTGACACGGTACAGAAATACTCCATTAAAAATCGCACTTTCAGGAATTGGTAAGCTCCTAGTTCCCCTTTCAGGAAGCTGTAAACGGCACCGCAGTAGCAGACGTACGTTGAAACAATGAACTCTGGTAACGCGCTCGGTAACTGTAATTGAGTAACTGTTCTCAGGAAAAGATAAACCTAACCCCGCAAGAAAAAAAAAGTGAGACGAGCTGCCGTATAAGCAAAGAACTGAGTTCTCCTGAACTTTTCCAAAGAAAAAGTGGGTCTAGCCTACAACTTGCCCACTTTAAATTCCATATCAACTCAGTAAACACTATTTGAATGCGCTTGAAGAGCTCCCGGCGAAAGTGTAACACTTGTGGCAGGTACCAAATTTTGGCTACAAAAAATAAATTGCATACAGTAGCTAGCGCAAACACAGAATCAATTTTGTGAACCCATGTCGCTTTAACACTCATTTTCGCCGTTTAGTCAAGTAACAACTCATTGCACTCTTTATGGTGCCTTAATTTCTCTGCCAAATATTCACCGGGCACTGTAGACCAATGAGCGGTTACAAAAACGAGTGGATGTCCACGACGGGCTGATGATAAAACTGTCAAGCGTCTAGTGACTTCTTTGATGATGTTAAGCCTGGTCATACAATTATCATACGCCATTTCTACCTCCTCATAAATACTTTTTTTCTGACACAAACGTGATGTGAGATACAAAAAAGGATTCTATGTGACACACGATTGAAAGCCTCCTTAGGGTCCATTTAAAGAAGCGCTACCCTGCAGTTATCGCTGCCACAATGTTCCAGCGCACTATGAGCAAACACACGTTGCTTAATATAGTGCTACCTATAATACCACACGTTTTGTGCTCCACAATCACACCTGTATTTTGTCTTTAAAGTATTTTCATAACAAGTTTTATTTTTATCTTGTAGTCCGCACTCGCTAATGTAATCGGTTAGTTGTTTACCGTATTTCGTAGTTCATAGGTATCTTCGCATTCTTGAATAACGAAGGAACAAGGGAAGAGAAAAGAGAAAGCAAGAAACTTACATTAATAACATTTTTTATACAGTAGGTTAGAAAACCCGGCTACTTTACTTTTAAGCTTTTTAACACCCCCAAAGCTTATTCCGTCGGCGCCTGGTGATTTCCCGACTTGCAATTCATTCGTGAATTTTACTATCTCTAAATACATATCGGTACTTCTAATCAGTCTCTAACATTGCCGCTTACCTGTCTCAGGTGAGGTAAGAAGTTCGACGCGAACTTTTCATCATTTGGGACCCAATTACTTGCAATCTTCTTAAAATTCAACAAAAGAGTGCTCATTCATCTTAAGGTCTCTTCTCGTAATGTTGTGATGGTCTATTTCAACAATTTCATCGGCGCGCCCATACTTTCTATGTCGCTAATGCACGTTTAGTTGGCATCTCGCCGGCGAGAAATCTTTGAACACGCGCTCGTATTACAGCAACATTATGGCGTTCAGTGTCTATGCTCTGTTGTTTAGGCTTGATATTATTTATGTCATGAATGAATAATTCCGTGTATTTTCACTCTTTTTGGCCCAACACTTTTAGAGCATCTCGTAAGCATTTTTCTAGTTGGCGTCCTTTGTGCTTTAGGGCAAACGACTTTTCGATTGCGTTAATTTTTATTTTTAACTTAAACACTTCCAATTCGTCAGACATGCAAACGTTTTCGTGTTTTTTTTTTTTTTATTTTAATATTCTGCTACGCTTTCCAACAGTGCCAATGCACATTTCGACCTCAAGAAGCTTAATGTATATTTTTCAGGTATCTCCGTTAAATCGGGGACGCTCTTTCTTTTTAGCACCTCACTCAAAAGTCACCAGTTTCATTATGTCAAAACTGACATAATGAACCTGGTAGGCATCAATAAGGAAGACCAGCTCTGCTGAGGCGTACGAACTGTCTAGATGCGCGTGACTGAGTCCTTGGAAATGAGTCAACTTCACACTCTTTGCACCTGTCGAGGTGTGCGCTAAATCAAACAGGTTGTGGTTGTTTACTATCTCACTACAAACAGAACCACTACTATCCATTTAAGGGCTTTGAGACGCCCTATCTTCGGGATCACAAGTACAATTAAAATCACCCGACACTATAAAAAGTATATTACACTTCATGCGACACGCTATAATTTCAAAGAAGATACTCCGTTGTGCTCCCGAGTCCGGGGCATATAGACAATTCACTTGGTAG